CCTCATGCAAAGTTAGAATTCATGTTAAGGTCTGTTACAGAGTAATTATGCATTTTCTGATTTTCTGTCTTTGAATGAGCAGGGTAAGTTGGTCCAAGGTTGGACTCAACGCAGACAAGTGTTGGAACGAACTGTCTTGTTTTTACATCCTCTCAGACGTAAATAGAGAAGCTGGCACCTGTTGGCACCTGTTTTTCCGCCAACTCGTCTAAAGATCCCTCTCGTCTGTCTAAAAACATTTTCAATCTGTTCCATAACATTCTTGCTGTTTTTCTGACATTTAGTGACCTCTTACGTCACAAAACACACCCCTGTCTGGTCGATATTGACCAATCAGAAACTCCCAAATGAACCAGAAATAGAGCTCTTTAAAATGTCGGTACTTCCTAGTTCAAACCAGTGTTGAGAGGTGTCGAGAGTCGTGTGGAGTTTCCAGTCGGGTGGAGAGTCGAGTTGGAGTCGTTGCAGCTCCCGTGCTGGGAAACAGGAAGATCCTGACATGACCACAGAGCTCTTCCGAGTCTTATGGGATTATAACATCTTCCACCTCTGGGTGGAACTCTGACGGACTCCACTCATGTGAAGTCCACTCGTGAGGTGAACCTGTGTCGGACGGAATACCGTCACTACTTCGGACGATTCACAGCTGTTCCTACGGAGACGCTGAAAGGGTGCGTTGAATGGACTTTTGTACCAGTGGAGACATCTCCAGGTAAAAAGTTGATTATACCACCTAAGTGTACTGGGGAAGAAGCTGAGAAAAGCCCGGAGAGTGCCGTCCTGAATGCTGACACAAACAAACCCCCTCACCCATCTTTTTCTCCCTTTAAACTTCATCTTTCCATCTTTAAAATTCTTCTATCAGGTAGAAATCATTCCAGATATTTTAGAAATGTCTGTGTAAAGTTCTCATCCACCGCCGTGTGGTCAATCAAAATTGTACAGCTTGCTAAAATTAGCCATGTTGTTATTTTCCATATTTTGCCAATTAATGTAAATGTGTGATGTGTTAAACTTTGATTCTGTTAATAAATGACCCACTGTCGTTTGGTGAGTCAAAGATAATTAACGTCTCACGTTACATTTCTAAATTCAATGCACATTATATACGGTCCAGAAAAATGAAAGAATCCGTTTAATTTATGAATATATCTCATGCATATGTTCATCTACATCTGGTGGCCCGTCCGTACGTTTGTACTACATCTGGTGGCCCGTATACGTTCATAAATGGACTGTGTATTCGTGTAAAATTGATATCATGTTGGCAAGAAAGAAAAATGGCAGATTATGCTGTGATGAAAAGTGCAGATTTTGCTGTGATGAAACGCAGCGCAGCTGCGACACTTGGAGAAAACGCAGCGTGTTGAGCTGCGATGCTCAGAGAAATACTGCATGTTAGAAGCTAGTGGTGTTTTGAAAGCTGAAATTGTGAGTCAACGTGTCTGTTGAAAGCTGAAATTGTACGTCTGTGGTGTGTGACGAGTTTGCTGAGCTGTGGAAACGCTTTATTCTGTTTAAACTGTGTTCCAGACGCTGTTCTGGTCCGGTTCGGTTTCGGAAAAGTTCGAACGAGTTGTTTTAAATGGTTGGGAAGACGTTTTGAGACCGGGGCGCCGACTCCGTGCAGTTCAGAGCTTGATTCGTTACATTTTTAACAGAAAATGGTACATTTTGACAGTTTAAAAGACGAAAAGTTGACGGACTTGTTCAGGCTAAGGCTAACATGCTAGCTGGAAAAACGATCCGTGATTGGTTGAAAACGGCTGAGTTGAGACGCTGTGATACGCTGAGAAGTGAGTGACGTGCCTGCGTCACTTCCTCTGAGTCAGCGTTGTAAGAACGCACCTCCGTTGTTGCTCTGTCATTGGTGGATTCAGTCACGTGACCCGGAAATGAAGCTCGTCTTCTTAGGGAATTTTAATCTGCTTTTTAAAGTTGAAAAACGCTTTAAAGTTGATTCTGATCCGCTGCTTCGTTTCTTTGAGGCCTAATCGCTGAAATTTTGCCAAGTTTCAGTTTGAAATCCGTCATTAAATGGTGTTTTTGGACCACGCTAGCCGATGCTAATTTTAAGCTAACAGCTAACGACCGGATGAGTGACGTGTCACGTCACTTCCTCTGAAGTCAGATTGTAAAGCTTGGTTGCACCGAAGCCTTTTCTATGCTTAAAATCAATAAATAAAATTTGCCACATGTCCCAAAAAACTCATGTTCATGCAAAGAAGTCGTGCTTGTTGAAACAACGCCACGTTTTAGCTTTAAATCCGTTCAAAAATGTTGATTTAACCGAGTTTAGCCGAAGCTAATTTTAAGCTAAGCGGCTAACGACAGGATGTCAACAGAAATCCACAGGAAGTTGTCATAGACTCCTGCTGGTAGAAAGCTAACACCGCCACCTCCTGGGAAAGAGGGGTATAACGGTTTTCTGAAGAAAGACTGAAACTCCTCATAACATTTTTTTTCTTTTTCTGTTCACCACCTGGTTCTATGAGTAGCTGTTAAAATAGCGAATTTATGGAAGTAAACGGTTTAAAAAGCGTTTTTAAACTGATGTTGCTGTGAGACTTTTTAGAAAAATTGCAGGTTTATAAAAATTCAGTGCTTTAGAGTAAGAAACACTGAGAAGCTTGGTAATCTAGTATCTGTTAAGAAATAAGCACGTTAAGTAACACTGCCAGAGAAGCATTTACTTAAGAATATTCATGAATTGGGGTAAAACCTACAAATAGGTGCCACATTTGAATAAGTTGACTTATAACAGTACTTGTGTGTAAACCCAGAGCTAAAATAGTGTAAAACTCAATGACACTTGAATACAAATATTTACCTGTAAAATAATCTGAAGCTGGCAACTGTTTTAATCAGATAAAGTGCTACACAGTGAAAACATGACAGGTGTGGTGGAAATTTTTTTTGTTCCTTATGAGATGAAGGACTGTTTGGAGAAAGCGTTGAAGCTGCTGACAGAATCCTTACATCCATATGATATACAGGTGAACAGCATGAACCCAAAAGAGTTAGTGGACAATCTGATGGAGGTTACAGGGAGTGTGACCTCTACAGAAATTACAAAGTCAAGTTATGATCAGCTGGCTAAAATTGCAATTTTGCTGAAAGAATCATTCTATGCAGTTGTTGAGAAAGCTGATGACCTTGCAATAAGGTTAAACACTGAAAAAGAGGTGGTTCAGGAAATTGAAGAACACTTCCTTCAATTTAAAGGCGAACACGAGGTCCTCACAAGAAAACATTATGAAGAGTTGTTTCAATTACAGCAAGCTGCAAATGCAGAAGTTGATTCAATGAACAGCAAAATAGAGTTACTTGATGCATCACTATCTGAAGCCAGGGATGCTAAAGAGCAGTTGTCCAGAGAATACTTTGCATTAAGACGGGATCACGACGTGACAGTGTCACAAGTTTCCCGCTGCAAAGGTGAAATAGATGTGTTTCAAGCACAACTGGAGGAATGCAAACTGGTAAAGGCGGGATTACTCCAACAATGTCTGTTTTTACAAAGTGAATGTCAGACATCACAGGAACGCCTGAAGGCTTGTGAGGAGAATCTAGCCACAGCAACAAACAAGATTTCTGACGTGGGGCGAGCTGGTCTGGGACTCAAAGACGAACAAGGTCAAGGTCCGGGTCACCCACAATCACCCCAGAAAGATGTTGTTGCACCTCCTACTCTTAATCCCATTCTGTCACCTTCACCCCCATCTCGGGTGATAGGGGCAGACCTTCACCAATTTGCACCACCAACCACGCAAGTGAGACCGTTGATACTGTCTCCTTCGATGGATGATTTGCAGAAAATCTCAAAATATGTACAACGCTTTGTACCTGGACCGATGGGTTCATCTGGAACAAAAGCGTACCTCAGAGATCTTGAATTCAGATTGAGAGGTTATCCTAATGCTACGGTTGAGGATAAGATCAGTCTGATAAGGCTCACTTCAGACAGAGAGGTGTTCACCTTCATCGAGCGTCTACCTGATGCAACGAGAAGGGATTACAACCTTCTGTGTGAAGCTTTGATCAGAGAGTACGACCCCTGCACGGGACCTGCTGGTTTCCCAGCTGCGGACAAGGTCACGCAGGGCAAGAATGAACATCCGAAAATTTATTACAAAAGAATCTTCCAAGCTTATTTTGGTAACAGAAATGAAACCGGTATGGAGGAAGACGAAGGTTTCAAATTTGTTTTCAGCAAAAATCTCCACACTGATTTTAAACGATCAGTACAAATGATGGCAAATTTCAGAGAGAAATCCATGAGTGAGATTAAACAGTGTGCTGTGAATGTGTTCGAGGCATGTTCTCATGCTAAGATGCCCATGGAAGTGTTTCCTGGTGTAAAGGTTAAACCCCTCTATCTTGAACTGGAAGGACGGCGTGCTTCGCCGCCTCCTCCTAAAAAAGTTGAGAAAAAACAGTCTGTTCAAACTAACAAACCGCGTCATGAAGGTGCACGCTGGGACAAAAAAGCTCCTCTTTCAGAGGATGAACGTGATTATCGTAAAAGGGGTGAGCGTAGGACGCAAAGATATGGGAACCGAGAGGACCCATATAATCAGGGAAAGTACGTAAAGGAACCCCCAAAAGACGTACCTGACCGTCCCCCACCTCGGACGAAACGAACCGAGGCGAAAAAATCACAAAAGTTCCAGAAACAAGGCCCTACACCTCTGAGCTCGGAAGAGACAGAGAAAATACGCAGGTTGTTAGAAACTTTGAAACACACTGACACGGGAACCCAACCAGGAGCACTATGCAGTA